TTTCCTCGTCCTATCATTCCTCTTCTCTTCCTCAACCCTCCACTGGAAGGTTTCAGTCACCGCTATTGTTCGCCCTGGTCAGAGGCGACGACTCACCAAGAGACAGGATAAGGAACACGCATCAGGAACTCACGTTCGCTAGCAGCGTGTCAATGTTTAGGGGTAAGTGACCAATTTCTCCAACCCATTCATGCCACCCACTACACCTACTGTGCAGCGGTCCACCAGTCTTCGGCTTCTCCTTCCCCGAAGTTGTTCCTTGAATTGAATGCCTGATCGGCCTTTGGGGACACTTCTGCTCCTACCACAAGTTATCCACTACCAACTGGAGGAGAGATAAAAGCAACGAAATAAGAGAAATGAGTGAATGGGTGAGTGGATTTGGCGAGTGAGTGTGTGGCTCGGTGGTTGGGAGATGGAGTGTTGACGAAGTGAAGAGGTAAAATCAAATAAGTAGACAACGAACCAGCCAACAAACGAACGATCAAAGGAGATATTACTTAACCCAGAATGGAACTATCTGGTGGACTAGAAGGTTGGGTTTCGAAGTGGGAAGAGGAGGAGGACATGAGATGAGTGTACATGCACACTCACGCATGCACATTCTTGCCCATTTCCATACGACAACAATAAAGGAGAATGTATGAAAGGACATAAGAAGGTAATAGACAATGCAGACAGAGATACACACTTAAAATAGAGGGGTAGACTAGGGAGGAAGGTGCACCTTCTTACACGTTATTGTCTACATAATACCTATTCTGGTCTGTGGTGTATATCTCGCAATCATTAAATCATGTGATGAATGGAACCTGCCAAAAGGGCGTTGGCAGAGGACAGGGTAGGAGGAGGAGATGCGCGAGAGTTGGATTTGGATTTAAGAAAGTAAATGTGTGGGGAGAAGCCTGATAAAGACAGAGAAGCTAGTTGTTCTGGCACTACCGCAATGCTAGGAATGGATTAATGTAAAGGAGGCAGGCATGGCAGGGTATAATGCAAGAGTCAACTCTTGAGAGCATAGATAGTAGTAGGGGAGAAGAACGCACTCACAGAAGAGGCGTTGACTTGGGGCATGAGAAGGTGGAAGTGGACAAGGGGCCTCCTGCTCCACGATTTCGACAATGTCAACAGACCTCGTTGCTATATATGTACATTGATCCCCAATATCTACAAGAGAGAAGGAAAAGGCCTCACTGTACGTGGCCTGAGG